ACTATTCAGAGTCAATATCCTAAATAAATCAATCAATCAACATAATATTAATTAATTGATTAATTAATTCAACTTTACAAATCTCTATGGGGAAATTTTGGGGGTCAAAGGCATATCACACGCACGCACGCACGCACGCACGCACACACACACACACACACATACATACATACATACATACACAAATACCAAGAGACTTTCTCAGTTTTAGTTTTAGTAAGAGTATTACGGCACTTGCAATACTATAAGGTCATGTAAGTGCCGAAGATTAGATGTGTTACAAGGGAGTAACAAACACAAAAAAAGAAGGTGGGGAGATAAGGACGATAGATGTTTGGTAAGAAAGAAGGAGCAAACCACACCAGAGCACCCGCTGACCACCCACAAAATCAAGTCAAATACGTGACAGCGACAATAAATAGAAGTGTTGTAAACCTGTAGACGGAGCTCTGAACATGTTTCACATTCTGGGCCCTAGTAGAAGGATGTGGCAGATGGAAGATCTAAAACACTTCTTTTCAATTTAGTTCAGTTTTGGTTCGAGGTTTTGCGGCACTCGCAACACAAATTGGTCATGTAAGTGCCAAAGATTGGATTTAATAGGAGGTTTTGCTGTACTTGCAACACAATAAGGTCATACAAGTGCTGAAGAATAGATGTCTTACAAGAGAGTAACATACACAAAAAAAGGAGAAGGATCGAGAGATAAGAACGATAGATATTTTATAGGAAAGAAGGGGCAAACCACACCAGAGCACATGCAAAACCAGCTACAGGACAGAAGGGGAGGAGCAATAAATGACAGCAGAGCCCCCGCCAACCACCCACAGGACAGAAAGAGAGGACCAAAACTTGACTACTTGATCCTGGGAACAACATCATAGCACTCCAGGCATTGCCAACAGGAGTAATAAATGACAGCAGAGCACCCGCCCAACCTCCAACCCCCCACACTTACTTTCCTCATCTTTGGTCTTATTCTTGATCTGCTGCAGCTTCTCCTGCTCAAACATCTCCTTCTCCAGGAGCTGTTGCTCAATCTTCTTCTGCTGCAGCTGCTGCTCCTCCATGAACACCTGGGAAGACCATTGCAGACATTTACAGGGGGGACACATCGCAGACACTTACAGGGGGGACACATCGCAGACTCTTACGGGGGGCACATTGCAGACACTTACGGGGGGCACATTGCAGACACTTACAGGGGGTGCACATCGCAGACACTTACAGGGGGGACACATCGCAGACACTTACAGGGGACACATCGCAGACACTTACAGGGGGGACACATCGCATAGACTTACAGGGGGGACACATTGCAGACACTTACAGGGGGGACACATCACAGACACTTACAGGGGGGACACATCACAGACACTTACAGGGGGGACACATCGCAGACACTTACAGGGGGGACACATTGCAGACACTTACAGACTTACAGGGGGGACACATCGCAGACACTTACAGGGGGGACACATCGCAGACACTTACAGGGGGTGACACATCGCAGACACTTACAGGGGACACATCGCAGACACTTACAGGGGGGACACATCGCATAGACTTACAGGGGGGACACATTGCAGACACTTACAGGGGGGACACATCACAGACACTTACAGGGGGGACACATCACAGACACTTACAGGGGGGACACATCGCAGACACTTACAGGGGGGACACATTGCAGACACTTACAGACTTACAGGGGGGACACATCGCAGACACTTACAGGGGGGACACATCGCAGACACTTACAGGGGGCACACATTGCAGACACTTACAGGGGGGACACATATATACATTTTGAAAAATAAAACCTACAAAACTTTTAATAAGAGTTTAGACCCGACTTGATCGTACCAAAGGGCACCCGGTATAATACGGGGTGCCCACTACGGATGGGATCGGCCATCGGCCCGACTCGATCGCCTCAAAAATATACGTGTTTGTTTTCCGTTCGTTTCAGGCGATCGAGTCGGGTGATCGGCCCGATCCAGCTACAGAGTGGGCACCCCGTATAAGACAAGGCCAGACAGTGTGAGCGAAAAAACACATAAACTCCCGCGAAGAAACACTGTAGACCAGTGCTTGCAAAGAAGAGAGTACCAAACACAAAAAAGAAGGAGGGGAGATAAAGACGATAGATGTTTGATGGGAAAGAAGAAGCAAATCACACCAGAGCACCCGCCAACCTCCCACATACGTGCTACAAAAATTCTAGCATCTTAAAAGTGGCAAAAAGTGGGTGCTGTTTATATAAAGATTGAGAAGCACGGGTGTAGACAAACAAATCCACGTTGTAGACCCAAACAAGGATCTCTTTAGTTTTAGTACAGGTTTTAGGTTTTACGGCGCTCGCAGCTGCAACAGGTCCACGAGCGCCAGAAGATTAGAGAGTAACAAACATTTTAAAAAAGAAGAAGGGGAGATAAGGACGATAGAAGTTTGAAAGGAAAGAAGAAGCAAACCGCACCAGAGCACCCGCCAACCCCACCCGTCAAACATAACAAGGATCTCTCGTGGCCCAGTCAAACATTATGTCAACAAAGATAACGCCCCGCCCAAAATATAAATCCTTTCCTTAGTACAAGAGCACGTTCCCACTCACGAAAGGCGGAGGGGGAGTTGCCTGTAATTGGATTTTCACACCTCATTGGCTTGGAAGAAGAAACATAAACACCAGAAATAAAGAGGGGAACATAAAACGTCATCATAAAAGAAAGACAGAAAGAACTTCCTACATTTCTCAAATTCCACGGTTTCCAAAAAGAGCCAGCTCTAAATGAAGTCGGCGAGGCTTTTGCACTTTTATCAGACGCCGCGGCTCCCAACACTTTGACAGAGAGCCAAGAACACCCTGACATACATCTCTAAACGAGGCTTGGATAATGGATGATTTGTTACAGGTGTCAATGTCCACACCAGTTTTGGTCCAGGTATCAATGTCCACATCAGTTTTTTGTCCCGGTGTGGGGGAGTATGTCAATGTCTTCCACCC